ATGTTATGAGGTCAAACATACTTTTGGAGGTTTCTGAAAATGTCACTATTACTGTTGTCAGTAAATGGTTAAAATAAGACATTGCTCATTTTTCTCAAAGACATTTCTGAGACCATGAATAAAATGGATTGCCAAAATAAGTGCACTAGTTGGCTAATATCCTTCACAAACCCTTAAAATTTCTAAAGACAATATAGAGGGATGGAAGTTAGACATCTGTCATCAGGCCTTTCAAATATTTCAATATTCCATTTTTAAAATATTGAATGTATAATCATACAAAAACTCAAGTGTTATCTCTGACAAAGACATATAAAATGAGATCGGTCATCATGTGATATGCTATCTTTCTTTGTACAATTTGCTGGCAAGGTTGTTTGAGCAAATAGAATCTAATTTTTTGTGGACTGGTAAGAATAATGAACTAAATATAAACTAAATATAATTGAACAGTACATACTGTATTCTATTCAGTATTTCACACCACTACATCCACTTTATGAAATCAATAGTTAGCAATCTTACTTAAAATTATCAATGAATCAGCTCCCTGCTCTTTAAGATCTTTTAGCCCTGGCAAAAATAGTGCTCGGCAATAAGATGATTTATACTGTACATGCTACATAATATTGTCAACTATTAATGCTAAAATATTGATATACAATGGAAAAATACCTAAAACAGCACAATTAAATTATAGTTTATAGAGCAATTGAAAGTACTGTTCTAAGAATATATATTATTTTAAAGAAGAAAATAATTTCTAAAACTAAGTAACAGTTTTTTGCCAGCAGCTATATCACTCTGCACCTCACATCTAGAAACCCACTGAATCTAAGCAGATGTGAGTCTGGCCAGTACCTGGATGGGAGACCTCCTGGAAAAGGTGCTGGAAGAGGTGTTAGTGGGGCCAGTATGGGGCACTCTCCCTGCACTCTGTGCAGCTGCTAATGCCCAGTATAGTGACAGGGACACTACAGTATATTGTAAAATAAAAAGTGCTGTCCTTTGGATTCGACGTAAAACCGAGGTCCTGAATCTTTGTGGTCATTAAAAATCCCAGGGCTTTTCTGGAAATGTGTAGAGTGTTACCCCAGTGTCCTGGCCAAATTTCCCCCTTGACCATTACCAATCATAGTCTCCTAGTAATCCCTGTCTATAAATTGGCTTCATCACTCTATTCTCCTCCCCACTTATAGCTGATGGGTGGTGAGCGTACTGGCGCAGTATGGCTGCCGTCACATCAAACAGCTGGGTGCTGCACATTGGTGGTGGAAAGGAGTCATCTTTACCTGTAAAGCGCTTTAAGTGGTGTGTTCAGAAAAGCACTATATAAGTGTAAGCAATTATTATGATTAAATATTAATATCGGCCACAAAAGTAGACATTGCTTAATAAACTGAAGAATTTATTATGGATGAATTAAAAAGGATAACAAAACATTTAATGAACACCATTCTGTGTACTGTTTTGTGCTGTGCTCAGTACAGTAAAATATAATAACAGAGGACTGTGACAACCACTACCACATTCATAGACTCTCAAACTGCAAAAAAAAAATCTAAAACACTAGCAGTGTTACATCATTGTCTTTCAGACTCCATTTGGAGCCCGAGTTCCTCCGTGGCATTTCTCTTTCAGGGAAGACAGTACAATCCTCTCCTCCTAGGTTATTCTTTCACTTTATTGTACTCACCAGATGTACTTCACTAATCACCAGATATTAGAGTATTTAACCAAATTAAATTTACAAATCCTTAATCTGCACTACTCAATATTAATTTTTAAAATAACTAGACACTAAAGCATTCAGTTAGACTCACTCCACACTGCCCAATTGCAATGTTCAAATAAATTCAACTCAAGTCTTCACACACTTCATATAAGTGCCGGATCTTGACTAATATCATAATCTTCTCATCGCTTATACAGGTGATCCCCTTTGGCCAAGGATGCTGCTTTGTAACCAACATCTTTATCCTTGACATAGTGGCCAGTTTGTTGTTTTCTCTTACTTCTCACACTCAAAGCCTGTTTGTCTGCTGATGGTAAAGCCCACGGAGTACATGGACTTGAGCTTTACCATCTAGACTCCTCACTCTGAGCTGTGGGGAGAAAAGGGTATTATTCTTGCTACCTTGCCAATCGATGCCCCACTCCTTCAGGTGCTTATGCCTCCAGTCAACCCAGGTTCAGCTGGCTATTCCTGTTCCTTGGCACTCATCCCCCTTACGCCCAGAAAAACTACCTTGCAGAATGTCTGCCCAGCCTTTGTGATGTTGTTCAGTATTGACTAAGCTGTATTTCCCCAAGCATTCTTAACTTGCTTGTCCCACAGGCCTGTAAGTCAGCCCAATATGTAATGAGTTCTCCACTGGAACTTCCAGGCTGGAGCCTAAATGCAGTCTGAGCCCTCAGTCTTATAAGCTTCTTAATTAACCCAAAAAAGTGACTAATACCACACAGAGCCTATCCCAACAGCTCTGTTTCTTAACATGGAATTTCACTTGAGTGCAAACTCTCAGTACCTCACTTGGGGCTTCAAAGACAAACATTTGAGATTGTTGCCTGAGATGTCTTTGTCAGAAACCCAGAATGCCAAACTTGGAACCTGAAATCTGATATAATGCATAAACAGGACAAAAAGAGAAATTTGCTGCATCCCAAATTAACCAAATATGACCCCGTCCTAAGTCTCCATTCTTTTAATCCAGCCTGTTAAAAAATGAATGGAAATATATCTCCCTGTTCTAAAAAATGCATCACCAAATTAGGAGAGAATGTTTTTAGCCAGAGGATTCTATAATAAAATAACTGGACAGCAAGCTTTCTATAGCAAGGATCAAAATGCTTAGCCAGAACAGAGGTCCATTCTATTGCTGCTTTTTCTTCCTTCCATTCATTTCTTGTTTCTCTCATCATCTCCTTTTTCTGATCCTTGTCTCTCTCTTGTGTCTTTCTATACTTTCTTTCAGTGTGTTATTTATTCATTAACTTTTTCATCTTGTCTCTCACAACTCTCCAGCAATGTAAACAGCTTAGTTTCTACCCCTTATTTTTTACTTTTCTGCCTTCTTAAATTATAACATTATTATCAAATGTATCTGGATTTTTTTGTACATGTAAAACAATTATACGCAGGTTTTTCCATTTAATAGATATTCTCGCTAACCCAATTTTAACTCTCACACCATAGAGTTACATTATCTCCTTAGTCAAATTAATGTGAAAGGTTAGATGAGACATTCTTCAACTAATAGACAGGACATTATTATTAGGACTACGGGTACTGTATTTTTGTTTCTGAACTATTTTTGTGCATGTTTATTTTGTCGAGACTTGTGCTATTTCACAAGTAATCTAAGTGCTAATGTTTTTTACCAAGGGAAATCAAATAGAATAGAACTAATAGAAGTGAGATTTTATTGTAAAATTGAGAATACTGCTGACTGTGCAGAAAATTAGAAGTTTAAAAAACATTAAAATGGTTCATTTGTAGCTGGAAAATTTAAATATCAGATACTAAGCCATTTCAAAATGTATGTCAATCTCATAATTTTGGACTTCAGTCATGCTAGTACAACCACATGAAGTTGAGATTTACATGTCTTTCTCAAGTTTTTCAGAATCACTAGAAATGGTTTGAATGATAACTGTTTTAATATAAGTGGTAATAAGTGTGGTTGGGAGAGGATGTGACTGAGGAAGCTGTTCATTTAAGGGGGAATTCCAGTCCAAATTTCTCACAATGGTTATTATACCTCAGTAGCAAAATAAATTCATTGACTATAGAAAAAAATTACAAATCTGAATTAAGCATCATGAACTTTGTGAAAGTACTATATGGCCACCATTGCTGTCACAAACCTCTGTTCTCTAAGTGGGCGAGAGCGAGAGTTTGCCCAAATTGCACAAAGTGGCTCTTCCTTCTCCCATGTCACTATAGTGATTAATGTATTGTGATATGAGAGCAAATAAGTACAGGTTGGGCAGCAGACATTTCACTACAGAAATGTTCCAATGTGATCTGCGTGCAAAGTAAACAAGTAAGTAGTATTTGTAGGCAAAACCATCTTGAAGTCGAGAGCAATCAAATGCCTGCTTGTCTACAATGTAATAGGGCCGCTTCACCTCACCGGATGTTTTGTTACCTCATTCTGGCAATATGGTGCATACCTGGAAATGTTGTCTAATTTGTGATGTACTGTAAACTGTTGGTTTTACTAACTACTGTGTACATTTTACTCTTATTGTGGTTTGAAATTCACTCATGAATGCTGATTCTTTCTAACCCAAAATAAAAAAATATCATTGCAGTGCCCCTTTAATTTCACCAGCTTATCAAAATCCTAACTGTTTTGATGTTCAAGCCTTGGTTATATGTATAAAATATTAAGTTTATAGATGTCTTCAATGGTATAGAATTTAAAGATGATAGTTTATATAATACATTTTGGTGAAATGGAATGAGACTCATTAACTGGTAGGAATACAAAATGAGGCATGGATAAAATTGAGATACCTTTTGAACTAGAAAAAAACAATAGATTTTAATCATTTTACTGTATATATATATATTTATTTTATATGTTCTTAAGCAGGGAAGTCAAATTCCTTTCACATTTTGCCATGAGTAGAACACAGACCGCAGTAACATGTGGTATCATTTTGAGGTACTGTAGATTGACCTTTTGTAGCAAAAAAAGTTAACTTTAACAAGGAAAGCCCATTCACAGTGAGTACATTTTCCTAAGTTCTTCTAGGCATAATGTAAGCTTTATTAGTACAATTAAATTGTCACTAATTTCATCAAGAAGACCATTATCAGGCAGTCAGACAATAAGAGTACACATTATGAATATTTTAAAGAATGAAACCATGGAAATGTGGAACAGTTAGAGTTACAAGTCTTATTATATAACCACAATCCTAGATTTAACAAAATCAGTGTTGCAGTTTTGAAGAGGCAGTAATATTTGAGATGCATATTTGTTTTATAGGTAGATGCTGATGATGTCCTTACTACGGAAGAACAGATATACCTTTTGTTCAATGCCAAACGGAAATGTGAAAGAACCATAAAATCTAAGCATAAGGTCCATGGTGAGTATTCCTTCAAATGCTGTTAATCTAAATGTAGAATTTTGGGGGGGATAAATTCAAAATGTCTGCGATTTTCTTCCATTTCTATGCCAAATAGCATTCAATTACTATTTGTACTGTATGCCTGAGTCACTAGTTTGAAGGTGTAGTTTGATTGAATTTGTAACACATACAATGTAATTACACTTTTCATGTTTTTGCTTATATACAGAATGGAAATTTTGCTTATATACAGAAGAATTTCTTCACTGCTGTATTTGCTATATTTGCACTGTGTAACCTGATCTTGTCAGATATCGGTAGCTAAGCAAGGCCTGGTCAATACTGAGATGGCAAACCAGGTTGCTGGTATACATAAAGTTGCTATATCAGTACGTTATACTCCGAATCTCAACCAGAATTGCCAAAACTCAGCAATATAGTTCCAATATAGGTCCTGCACCTCAGTGGTAGATGAAGCACATGCCCTGTTAATGTTGAAGTCCTTTGACATCCTTTGAGATGAAAAGTGTATGGGATGTCTGACCTTTTTAATACTGATGACACTGATAAGCCTGTCAGGAGGGTGGGATTAAAATGTCCTGCATCTGCCCCCTTGAGGGGATATACTGTATAATAGGTTCCTTCTCTTCCCTATTTTTTAACTCACAGCAGGTAATTGTCTTTGAGCCTATTTAATCTCTGTTATCCTTATTATCCCTATAATATTATCATATTGGAAGCTTGCTCTTGCTTCTTCCCTGGATTCACATACATTCTTTAGCAAAAAATAAAAATAAAAAAGAGCCCGTTGTACAGCTAACCTCTTTAGACTCTGGTCACATCCATTTTCCCTACTTCTGTACTGTAGTTTTATTATACCCTTTGGTTTTAGTGTTGGTTGGTTTGTGTCCCAAACCCCACATTTCTCTAATACAAGATTGCTTTCTTTGCTTATTTACAGGTGTGGCTGCTTCTACACCCCCTCTTCCAAAACATATAAAGGACAGAAACCATTACATTATTTTTTTCTGTTCTAGGAGATTATTTCTGTTCATCTGTTGATATCACCAGTACTGTCATTTACGCCCCATCCTTGTCTTCATTCCTAACATTTTTTTACTTATAGGTTAAGTGGAGACAGAGCAGCAGGCTTCTGTGTGTTGAGTTCCTGCCACAGACCTTCCATTTCTTTATTACCTGCCTTTGCTCCCCCTATGTGCCCTGTGCAGCCTAGTGTCTCCATGTCCTCCCAACTCCCAACTGCCTTATGTCAGCTCCACTTTGTACTACTCTGTGCCTCCGTGCACCCCTATACTGAGGGCCTTTATGCATCCCGCAATATGTTATCTGTCATCTTGCACTCTTCTTCACATTTTGTGCTTCCAGGTACCACTAAGCTCTCTGTGCTCTTTATTAACAATCCTCTGGCTGCTGTCAAACTTACCCCAGACTGCCTTTTTATTGCCTGGAGAATTTTACTGCCTGGAGAATTTAAAAAAGGTGGATAACAATAAAAAGGACTAGGTTGTATTTGTACATTTTTTCTGACAACATGTTGACTCCTTTCTGGTGTACTTTGGGTTACTCTATTACCTGGAATACTTCCACTTAAAGAGCAGTCTGTTAGCTGCTATCTGACATACTCCAAGTTGCTTATTACCCAGAAAACTGCCAAATCAAACAAATGGAATAGCTTCCTAGCTGCTGTCTCACTTACAGCATCCTGCCAAATGATCTCTGAAGTACTGAAGTGCTTTAGGTTTTTTATTTTCTGAGGTGCTTTTTGTCAAAGAAAAAGTGTTTTAGTTTTAAAGTCTTTTTTATACTGCTGTCAGCTCCCTCACTACTTATTTTTTATTATTGTGAGTTAATTTAAAAAAAATAGAAATAGTTATAATTCTAAGAGCTTCTGCTGCTGATCTGTGGAGGCACTTGCATTGGGAATATGTCCCAGATGTAACTTATGCTATGAATTTTCAGATATCCAAGCTTTCAAGCTTGCCCAGCTGCTTGAAGGCTAACTGGAGGTTCTGCTTCCTTTGTTACAGCAACAGATCAAGCAGCATCCTGAGGCATTCCTCTCTTGTTCCCTTAATAACAGAGGAAGACTTTGACTCAAAGCCTCTGTGTTTTGAGACTTCATGGGAATATTTTATTCCCTAGGTAGGCAGTTAACTGCAGTTGTTAACTATGCTGAACTGATTGACATTTCAGTGATCTCTTGAGCAGACCTGAGAAATATGAATGCCCAACAGAGGATGTTATGGGTTTTGAACTTTCTACTACAAATGAATCTCTATATTCTAGGACATCTGGACTTTCATTGGCCAAGTTATGGTGAAGCTAGGATGGAATGGCTGTTATTCCTGGAACCCTAGAGCTCCTTGCTTAAAGATGCTTCCCCTGTTGTTCAGGGCAAAAGAAATGCCAAATTCCCTGTGTTCTTAAAGGAGCTCCATCCATCTTGAGCACAGTCTTACTGTTACTGTTGTCCCTATTAAAAGTTACAGCACTGTTACAGTATGTCCATGTAGTAGGTGGCAGAATGTATAGTTTTCTACCTATAACCCAGCATTTGCAGCCTTGCCTCCCTTAAGATGCTACATGTCCCAACAAACAGTGCCACATAATAGAGTTCATCTTAAATCTGTGTTGCTGGAGCTGAGTGTGCTGAAGCTTGAAATTTTGAAGACTTTTCTAAGTGTACCAGGCTATCCTCTTTCTGGAGTTTCCACTTGCTTCCTTGCCAGCTGATCATGCCAAACTATACCTGAGTGATCAACATCATGCATTGGCTGGTATACACTGCAATTTTGTCTGAATCACCTCTCTTTACAGGAGTTCTAGTGTTGATAGTTTGCACTCCTGAGATAGTAGCACTTCTTGCCAAGCATACTGTCCAAGAGTTTCAGTTGCTGCAGCTGCAAGAAGGTTTCTATCCCAAATACAGGATTTACTTCTGCCCAAAAAGGATGGAGGATTCCTTTCAATACTTGTCAACAGTCTCCTTATAGTAGTGCAGTTCAAAATGCTCATGCATAGTGAACACATAACCTGTTTGAAATATTTAACATACAAATGATAATGTTCTAACATGGATAAACATGCACACAATATTCCTCAGAAACAAAAGTTAAAATTCAATACATTTGCCACTTATTCATCTTTTGATCTGAAATACACATTTCATTAGTACACAGCAAAAATTACAAATTTAACTTCACTGCCCAGATAAATACACTTTTCACTATACCTTAAGAAGGATATGAATGTTGCCACAGTAGAAATACAGTATACTGTAGTTGGTGATATTAACATTCATGTTCTGAATGGCACATCATTATTACAGAACAAAAGGAAGTGTTTCCTCATGAGGACAAAAATAAACCCTTGTATACTTAAGACTGCTATCATTACATAGATTTAGTTAATCATGTACTGTAAGTGTATCAAAAACAACAGCTGCTCAAAGCAGCAGAAAATAATTCATCTTCATCCATGGGTGCCTCAGGGCATTACAGTATATACTGTTAGATAAGATTTTATTGTTCCCTGAAGGAAATTTATTATGGTCACCCAGCACTCCTGTACATTTAAATAGAATGCAAACAAAAAAAGAGAAGAAAAGAAAAGCATTGCACATTATTCTATTACAAAAAGAAATATAATATGGTGACTTTAAAGTCATAGCTTTAAACATGGTTGTATTAAATAAAAACAAACTGAAATATACAGTATACTGTTGTAGTGTGCTCTCTCAAGGCACCAGTTCTGTAGGGTTTGGGCATTTACTGGGACAATTATTAATTGTAGCAGTAAATCACAAAATTGATTCTTTTGATGGCTTTAGAATCCAACCATGCGATA